TTATGAGATATGGCAAATGGAAGTCAAAATCGCCTTCCTTAATGGGATTTTAGAAGAAACTGTGTACATGACACAGCTGGAAGGTTTTATAGATCCAAACAATGCTGGAAAGGTATGCAAGCTTAAAAAGTCCATTTATGGACTAAAGCAGGCAAGCAGAAGTTGGAATCTGCGATTCGATGAAGTCATTAGTGAGTTTAGTTTTATCACGAATCCGGATGAGTCTTGTGTTTACAAGAAGGTCAGTGGGAGTGACATCGCATTCCTTGTTTTATATGTCGATGACATATTGCTCATTGGAAACAGCATTCCAATGTTGGAGTCTGTAAAGGCTTGGCTTGGAAAATGTTTTTCAATGAAGGAATTGGAAGAGGCACAGTACATATTAGACATCAAAATCTATAGGGATAGATATAAAAGCAGCTAAGGAGGCAGTTTGGATTCGTAAGTTCGTTGGTGAACTTGGTGTTGTCCCTTCAATAAAGAGACCAATATACCTCTACTGTGATGATAGTGGGGCTATTGCTCAGACTAGAGAGCCAAGAGAGCATCAAAAAGTCAAACATGTCATGAGGCAATTTCACATGATAAAGGAATGGAAGTCCGAGGGTGAAATCAGAATTTGCAAGATTGGAACGGACAACAATGTAGCCGATCCACTCACTAAACCTTTGCCTCAAGTGAAACACAACAAGCACGTTGAGGCAATGGGAATCAAGCATATCGGAGATTGGCTTTGATTTCCCTATTTGTGTGTGTTTAATTAAGTTGTGGAGATATTAATGTAAAACACTAAGTTAAACCATTCATTTATGGAGTAATTTAATTTTTCTGTGATTTATTATTCCATTTCTATTTAATTGTGGTTTAGAATTAAATAATGAGTCCATTCGATTTGAAAATATTCAAAATAAAGTATCAAAGCTATGTCTTGGATAAAGAAACACCTATAAGTGAACATTGAATATCAATCGAAATTATCCCTAATCGAGGTCATTTGAAAGTTGGACGACTAATGATTGCATGAGATTAGTGTGTAGTATGATTTATAGCACCGTTTCTTGTGCTACAAGGACAAAATAGTCATAAATCATTTGCACAGGTATGAGTTTGGAACTATACCGGATCGACCTATGAGAATACTTTAAGAGATTTAACAATCGTCATAAGTATATTACTCATTATGGCTATCGGAACCTCTTTCCTGGACCATGAGTATTGTTAGTTCTCTTGTTTGAGTACTAGTCCGCTTTGATGTTGTCAAATGTCTGCCGTACAAGAGGATTATAAAGGCAACAGTTGGGCGGCTAGGGCCTCTTAGTAAGGGAAGCTGACGATGCAAGACTGAGAATGTCCCCCTATTAACAGTAGGGAACATGTCTTTGTTTTTTACAAGGCCTCTCGAAGAGCGAGACTATGAAAATGCATGGTCGTGCTCAGATGGATTTTAGAAATCATCTGCTTAATGATAGTCAAACTCGGAAATCGAGAAACACTTTTGGACGTAATAAGGATGACGATGAATCTTACCTTATATATATAGTTCATGAAGAGACATTAAGTGACATAGAAAACAGGCTATACAGAATTGGCACACTTGTCCAGAAGGACAAGTGGGAGATTGAAAGGAATGGTGTCCTTCGAACAAGTGTATTTATTCCGATAGAGGGTTTGGAATTAATTAGAAAGCTAATTATTCAATGAGGCCAAGTGATCGGAATGCCTAGCTAGAGGCCGCTTCCAATCAGTAATATTAATAAATAATTAATATTACAGCTTAATCTTGACTGAACCCTTCGAGTCACACCCAATCGTGTAACCGAACCGAAGCGACGAATCAATCCGAAGGATTAAACATGTTGATAGAGATTTTACGAACTAAGATGTCGGATTCCGAGCTTAGAGCGTCGAAACCGAGCGTCGTACGTCGAGTCGATTTTAGGAATCGACGAAGACGAGAAAAATAATCAAATGACGTATCTTGCTAAAATTACAAGGATAGCACGAGCCCTAGCCACGCCTCGGATCGAAGGCAAGTAGCTAGGGGCCGCAAGCACTAAAGCACCAAGACATCGCAAAGCCCAGCTAGGCTGGCCGTGGCGTGCGAGGCTGGCTGGGGAAGCTTGTGGGCCTACGCACCACAGCACCCGAAATCGGGGCTGCCTAGCAAGGCTAGCAAGCAAGTCAAGCTTGCGAGGCTGCTGCTCGCTTGCGGGTGCTGCTGCTGGGCCTGCGTGTGCGCGTGGGCTTGCGGCAACAACCGTGGGCTTGCGGCCAAGGTCCGGCAGGCCTAGCCTTGTGGCGCAAGGCTGCTAACATGGCTGGCCTTGCTGCCCAAGGCTGGGCAGCTGCCCGAGCTGACCGAGGAAGGTGGGGGCAGCCCCTTGCCTTGCTCTCCAAGGCCAAGGTGGTCCTCCCACCTACTCCCTCTTTGTGTGATGACATTTGTCATTTGATTATTGTTTCACGGATTTTAATTTAATTTAAAATTAAATTAAACTCTATTTTGCCTTTTTACCAACTATCCCACATTGAAAGATGATGGGAACTCTTGGGCATTATTCCCTATAAATACCAATCATTTGGCAATGAGAAAAGGCAGTTGAGTTGGTGAACTTTAAGGGAACTCCAAAAGCAAGAAAACCTTTGTTCGTAAACTCTAAGTTATTTTTAGTCTAGCCCCGACTAAGTTTTAGGGTAGGGACTCTTACGGTTCGGTAACGAGGGTGTGAACCGTTGGAGGTTCTCGCACTTGCGGAACTTGAAGCTTTCAAGTCCGAGCTCAACGATTGAGCGAAGCATGCTACAAGGTGAGCATTCTTTCTCTTCTCTCTCTTCTCTTATGTTTATGTTTATATGCATGGTTTTATTTATGCTGTAATTATTATGCATGCGATCCGGTTATTGGGTTTTGTTTCCGCGCGGTGTTAGACACCGCAAAACTTAGCATGACAATGCACATATTCAACCGTTAATTTCTTTAATTATTGAAAAGCAAAAATTATAAAAAGTTGATATTTTGAAAATATATATCGTGATGAATCTAACAAGACCCCGCATGACTATATTTTTCATTACGTATAAATCACAAAACACGGTCAAAGAGAAGTGTGTAAATAGTGCTGAAGTCAAAACGTGTCAACTAAACGATGGTAGTATTTTAGTAGATTTTCCTACTCCTTAATTTATGCCTTTCTTTGTCACATCTCCCTATGCAAAGATAAAAGGAATGGGAGGGAACAACCTGCAGGAGTTACCTTCTCTGATTCAAACAAAATTCTAAAATTTTTTCTATATAAAAAATAAAAGTTGTACTCCATTTGATTTAATTACTGCAAATCATTAAACACCAAATTCAAGAATGAGGAAAAGTAGAGAGAACTTAAGCTCGTATTCCATCTTAAATGCAAAAACGAAGACAAAATATTGATAGAAATCATGATGTTATACTCTTTTCATTTTATATTGGAGTTGTTTGGCAATCGACGGTTGGCTATTGGCTATTTGCTTATTTAACTAGCTGGATGTATTAGTTGAATGAATTGGCTTTTTAAGTTAGTTGTTTAAGTCGACTGTTTACAAAAGTATTTGGTAAAATTATTAATGGTTGTTAGCTGTTTATAAGTGATAAAGTGGGCCAACAAGCTAAAAGCCAATAGAAAAAGCTACTCCTATCAGCTTTTGGTTTTTGACGGAAAAGTCAGTTTAAAAGCCAATAAAGAAAGCCAACTACCAAATATATTTTTCGCTGTTTGACCAAACTAAAAGACCAAAAGATAGGCAAAAAGCCTATTGCCAAACACCCCTATTATTTTCTCTAAAGATGATACTGAATACTAGTATGTATTTCTATTAAAATTTAGGTCAAAATTTTGCAAGTGAATGAGATTTGTTTAAGGATCAACTCAAGTGATAGAAAGTATAATGTTATATACTTTTTTGAATTTGGTTAAACAACTAAAATATATACTCGTATTTGATTAATTGGCTTTTTTGTTAGCTACAAAACCAACTTTTCTAGCCAAAAGCTAATAAGACTAGTTTTTTTTTTTTTTTTTTTTTTTTTTTTTTTTTTGTGTTGGTTATTGTCTTTTAATGCTTATAATTATAATTTTGTATATAATAGCCATCATCCAACAGCCAACTCTACTAAATATATTTACTAGAGCCAATAGTCAAACAATCAACATAAAAAACTAATACAAATAGGTGAAGACTAGCCAAGAGAAACAACTGGCATTTAATTGCCAAACATGGCCTTATCAATCAATTCATCCAAAATCTTAACCCAATAGCCAAACATGTTATTAAAGTTGTTAGTGGGAGTAACGAGATGTACAAATAAAGATAGAAAGAGTTATTACTTTTTCCGTCCCATAGTACTTGGATGTTGGGGTGGACACGTAGTTTAAAAATTACAAGTGGGTCCATTTAAAATCTTTGTTTATTATATAAAAGATTCTCTTTTGTATTTTTATATTGTAATTAAACAAACAGTGGGGGAGGTGGGGTAGTGAAGAGAGAGAAAATGTAGGATTTAATTGGGTTTTGGGGTTTGTGGTCCCAAAGAGAGTATAAGAATTTTTTTTTTATTAGTAGTCTCATTCCATATTTAATAACGTGTCAAATATTTTAGAACGGATAAAAATGATAACTGTGTCAAGTATTATGGGACGAAGGGAGAGTAATTTGAAATATCTTAAAAACAAAAATCAGAAAATTAATTGAAGTAGAAGTAATTAGTTGAGTATTAAGTCAGTCTTCTCTCTCAACTGTCTAGTCTGACTACTGTATCTTATACTTCACAAGTGCTCTAGACTAGAGACTCCCCTTTATCTCTCTACTTTCTCACACTAAAACACATCTTTCTGTCTACCGTTGCAGTGTGCATTAACCTGCAAAAGTTATAAAAGAACCCACACACCCCATCTGCCACAGTGCCACACACAATGACAAAAAACTTGTAAAAAAAAAAAAAAAAAAAAAAAACAAACCCATTCTAACTCAATTAACAAACACCCCCCACCAATTACCATAAATTCAGCTGATTTTACAACTCCTAAACTCTTTCCTCTTCTTCTCTCTCTTTCTCTCTCTACTTTCTCTCTCTACATGGACTTCAATCTGAAGCAATGGAGAGATCAGCAGCAGCAGCAAGAGTCAGAAGATGAACAACAAAACTCTGCCAAAATCCCAAAATATTTGCTCCTTGATTCTCCCCAACAACATCACCACCACCAACACCAGCAACAGCAACAAGAAGTTGCTGCTCTTCCTTTGTTTGTGTCTTCTGAATCCCAAGACAATAAAATCACAAACACCCATTTGCCTGATTACCCTGATCACCATTCTTCTACTCCTCCTACTGCAATTCCCACCAGATTTCCAAGTAATTTGTCCCATCTTTATCGTACTCTGTTTTACCCTGTTTTCATTATGTTTTCAGGGATCAATGTATCTAAAGATTACATTTTTGTTCTATTTTCATATGAAATTTGCGTTTTATATGTACATATTGCTACACAATTTATTTTCCAGTATTTTGTCAAGCTGAACACATCAATAGTCTACTCCTATTGGTGATTATAAGTTATTCCCCTGTTTGATTTTTACTCTGTTTCCCTCTGCTTTTATCTTCTTACTGTTCAGTTTCTTGTACAAAGAAATGTGTCAGAACTCTGAAGCTCAAACCTTTGCAGAATGTTTCTTGGGTTTCATAAAATTTCATTAGTTCTCTCTCAATGTTATCAAATCCGTTTTCCTGTCCGAGCAAATTTAATTGTCACATCACTAGTTCAAATTACACTATCAACGCGACTTATGATTCTGGACCATTTGTCGGATTTCTATGACTGATGACTGCATTTTGGGTTTTAACCATTTTTAGTGTTATTGTGAAAATAGGGGCGGGAGGAAGGTATTCATTCAGCTTGGCACAATGGCAAGAGTTAGAGCTACAAGCACTAATATACAGACACATGGTTGCTGGTGCATCTGTTCCTGCTGAGCTTCTTCAACTGGTGAAGAAGAGCCTCTTTACTTCCTCTGCTGCACCTTATTATCTCCATCATTACTCACCTCATTTTCAGCCTGCTGCTGCTTGTGAGTTTCTACTCTAATCATTATAATATGCCAATTTTAACTCATTTATTTGATGGTAGCCTTGAATTTATGAAATTATTTTGATGTAAGTGCTTTTTCCAATGTTGTCTGTTGGTGTATGTGCAAGAAAAACAAAAACATGAATTTGGTGAAAAGAGTTCACTTTTTATATGTCATTATGATATATTGGTTGGGGTCATTTGGTTATGATTTCTTGAATTTGTGATCTTTTCTTGATTTTGAATGTGTGTGTATATAATCATTAGTAGTGTTGCAAGCAGGGTATTGGGGAAAAGGGGCAATGGATCCGGAACCGGGGCGGTGTAGGAGAACAGATGGGAAGAAATGGAGGTGTTCAAGGGATGTGGTAGCTGGTCACAAGTATTGCGAGCGCCACATGCACCGTGGCCGCAATCGTTCAAGAAAGCCTGTGGAATTTCCTGCTGCTGCTACTGCTTCTGTTTCTGCTAGTGATGCTCTTGTTGGATCACTGAATAAGCCTTCTGCTGCTGCTACCGCCTTTGCTGCTGGATCTGCCGGTGCAGAAACTCAGTTTTCACTCTCTAGATCAGGGCCTTCGTCTCTTGATTCCTTCCACCTTAATCCAGGGTATAGACTATTCTGTTACAATGTTTTCTTGTTTATTTCGATGATTTCGAATTCGAGTTATTATTGTACATACTACGTTTTGATCTCAATAGTTGGTCCAACTTGCTGATGCAATGAAGTATTGAGATAATGGTGCCATTTTTTATTTTTTTTTGGATAGTAGATAATGGTGCCAAATTATGATCTCATTTAAGGTTTTAGGATGGTTTTGGCTTAATTCTGAAGTTATTAAACCCTTAATTGATGTTAGTGGTTATTCATTGCCCTTCATTTGAGGTGCACTTTTTGGTCGCATAGTAGTACAAAGAATAGCGTGCTTATCATCCTCTTGTGCTGTACTAGTTGATACTTTCAATGTGGTCCGAGTAATTGAGATCTACTTCATTTTCTACATTAAATATGGCTTGTTGTGTGACACACTGACATGTTGGTAGTAGAAAATTTAGGAATCACTGGGGACCATTATATTTATGCATAACTCTATATGTTACGCTCCATACGTATATTTGCATAATCTATTATATTGATACTAATTTAAGTATCAATCAGATTGGAATATTGGATTCAAATCAAGTTGTAATTATTTTGATTTGGTTTTTGGTTGAGTCGTGTATAAGTTTAAGTTTGTCTAGTGGCAATTTGCTTATAATAAAGATCTACTGATTGGATTCATAGTAGTTCTCTGGTTGGAATTGTACGGGTTTGGATAAGGTCATCTCAAGTCAGGTCAGTTTCCACGGGTGTAATTCCTTTTTTTTAAGAACAATTAATTTGTGTGGGTGGGTGACTTTGTTCAGGCAAAATTTTGATAGATGTACAGGATGATTTTAACAGCAGGAAATTTGATTCTGCATCTCACTTTGAGTGGTGGGGGAAAAGGGGAGTGGCAAGGCTGTAGAAATCTATGCTAAAATCTACTGGACAAGAAATTTTGATTCTGATGAAACCTGACTTAAGCCACCTCTTTCAGGAAGCAACTGACATTTGTGCTTTACTTGTACTGTACTGTTAGATTCCCTCTAGTTTTTTTGTTTTGTTCCTTGCTTTAGCATATGGTCTACCATCTCACATGTTGTTTTGTTTTTTTAGTAGGTCATCTGACAACAAAACTCTATTTGGACCTCAACATGAATCATCATCAGGTTCTGGGGATGGTGGAAACTCTAATACTAATAGCAGCAAGGTGTTGATGCAATTCTTTGATGACTGGCCGAGATCTGACAATGGCGAAGGCAACACTCTTTCATCATCGACAGGACTTTCAATATCAACCCCGGGAAACCCAACATCGGATTTCCTGAGGTTGTCAACTGGGAATGGTGATGAGCAGGGTCGGAGGGACAGTAATGAGAATGACGGGAGAGAGCGAGCTCACCAATTGAATTGGAGTGCTGGTGGGTGGGGAGCAAATCCTGTGGCTTCAATGGGAGGTCCATTAGCTGAAGCCTTGAGATCATCAAGCAACTCATCTCCCACTAGTGTTTTACATCAGCTACCTCGTTGCTCTGCTCCTGACAATAGCTTTGTCAGTGCCTGAAGATGATTCAGATTTCATTTTTTTTTTCTTTTTTAATTTTCTAGAGAATAAAAATAAAGAGTTCTTTGAATTTTATGCATAATCTATTGGTCTTTTTTTCCCATCTTGTATGTTTTGGACAGTACAACACTAAACTTACCCCACAAGGCATAAACTGCAGCCTGCTGGTGTGTAAGGTGCTGTTTTGACTCTTGTATGTTGTAGCAGAGTTCGCCACATCTGTATTTATTATCTGCGTCATACCATTTTAATTTTCACATGAGTACATTTTAGTGCCATCTATAAAAGATTAAGAAATCATAAATTATATAATATCCAAGAGTAATTCGATTGACATTTTTTAATATATGTCTATAAATCTTGCTTGTATGATTGAATTTCAGCCACTACAAGATTAAGGGTAATAATAATAAAGGATACAAATGAAAGTCAGTGACAGATATTTAGCCGCATGATGCCACAACTTGAGCTTCTCTAAATTTGAAGTGCTTCATACTTCATGTCCTGAAGGCTTGTTAGGACCGTTCGACGACAAGGAAAAAAAAAAGAAATGAGATGTTGCTATGCTAGATAGTATTATCAGAGTAATTACGACGTATATTATGCTATAAAAAAGAACGATCCTGAAGCAAAAGCACTGCCTTGCATAGATAATAGGATAAAAGTTCTAGGACAAACTTATTCTGGTATTTCTAAAACCCTATTATTGATATATATCCTTGACATAATTTACATAAGGATACTATAAACATTTACAGAGGCTTATAAGGGCAGAGAACAGCCTTCTAAGCCCTTGCGCTCATTCTGCAATGCTTCGTTATTTTACTTTTGCTTTTTCAAAGTCTTCATTCTGTATTTATGAAGCAGTCCATCAGTGGACTCACAGCAACTACTGTAGCCCTTAAATGTGATTTTGAGTGCAAGCTGCCATGAAAATGCCCACAACAGAACCAAGACCCTTCTTCTATATCCCACTACATTATTCTAGATAATAAATCTGCAAATGAAGCTTAATCTTCAGCTGGTTCTGCGTCATCTTCAACAACTAAATCCTGCATAGCTAGTACTGTATCATCTTCTACAAGATCATCTGAAGCTGGTTCTGCGTCATCATCTACTAGAGCATACACCACTGCAGCCCTACTAGGAGCATATACCAAGAAGGAACGGGGTCGATTATCATACGATCCCTCCTGCACACCATGTTTTAGTAAGTTTCAATTGACACGAGAAGTAAGTTCATGTAGCATGATTAACAATGGATATCACTACTGCCTTTGAGATAATTTGGTTCACATAAGAATTCACTTTCACCCCACCCACCAAATTCCAAAAATAAAAAATAAAATACAAGAAACATGCTTGTACACAAAGAAATATCGTCTTACAAAAGTGAAGTGTTCAGCATTGTGGTCAATTCTGTTGAATCCACCAAACAATGGATCATCTGAATCCAAAACAATCTGCAAAATAACAACACAGGTTTAACCATCTAGTTATGACAGACCTTTCAGCAATTTTGAACAATGACGAAAACTAGACTTCTCTGAAGATTTACCATAAGATAAGCTGCTTGAAAATTTTAAATTATACTAATTCTTGCAGACATAAGAGGTGATATAATTCCCTTTTATAATGACCAAGATTTTTTAAGCCTTCAAGGAATAATATTTCTTTTGAGTAAGAATGTAAGATACACTCCAGTCTCAATAACACAGCCAACTGAATAAATGTATCCTATTTCAAGATTCTATGAAGATTTAATGATTTCCCACTTCAAAAAAATTAAAAGGGATAAAAGAAAATTGAACAGTTGAACCTAATGCAGCTAGTTGAATACACAAGAAAATTCTTCCATCATAAATTATGCTTTGCCAAACAGTTCCTCATTCTAACTTAGCAATTCATTAATCAACAATTGAAAACTAACTCCTTTCAGAAGTCTATAGAAGGTATTAGTCTCATACACTAACAATTGAACGGGAGTATTATAAGAAGATACAAACTAAATTAGAGTAACAGAATGAACAATCACATATCCCAAGTTCAGAAGCATACCTTATATTTACCTGGCTTCAAGCAACCAATCTGGTAATCAAAGTAGCTACTCGACCAATGAAAATTGAAAACAAACACCAAGTTTCCCCTTTCAAAAACTATGATCCTATCATCTTCAGCTTTACGTGATATATACTGGTGCTCTGAAGTCATGAACTGCAGAAGACACAGAAATAATCTATGATATTGACTTCATTGTCATGTGGTTTTCCTTAACCAGGATATGCAACAAATTGGAGAAAGAATAGAGCAGAAGCTAATATGCATTTATCTTAAACAGAGGCATATGTACAAAAAATCATTTTCTAGCAACTAGAATTGAAGCAACTAGGTTTGAGGCAGGGGTATCCCATGCACTTACTAAGTGTTTTTTTATGGAGTCTTAATTCTTAAATCTCAAGATTAGGTCTGCTAGAGGCAGGAAGGAGTTCATGCAATCCAAAGTATAGCGATATGGGGCTCTTTTGGCTCACACGCCTAAAAACTGTTAATGAACATCTCATAATTGCAGAGAGGGGAGGGGGGCATTCAAAGGATCATGTAATTCAAAACCACTAATAGTGGTGGATGTCTACTGTTTCCTTGCCACATCCAATAATATCCAAAAATCCCCTCACCTCACAAAAGTATTGTTCATACCTTTGATTGACAAAATCATCAACCTAGTCATTTATAGGTCCGCTAATTTCCTTTCAGACGCTAGTACGAGTAGTACCAGTTCTATAATGATTCTGCTACTTGCATTATATTTTTTTACTGTCCCTCATAGTACTAAAAATGAATCAACCAGCTTCCTTCTGTAAAGGCCATTGAGGGGAAGGAGCTATATACCCAATCTGGTCTTCTGCCTAAACTTGTGTCCGAGACTTGTGAGATTTTGTTTTTCTGCTGACCCAAAAAGTTATTACAAGCAACAAGAAGATAGGCAAGGATTTTTCTTTGGGACTCGTTGCCTCAGAAGTGGCATAAAGATAAATGTTTGTATTAATTAAGATAGAACTTGCAGAGACAAGAAGACAAGTGCATAGAACATTTTAGTTAGTTGACGAAAGACTAATTTGCTACGAGATGATTTCTGAGTCCCAATAAAAGCTCAGTATGGATAAGGTGATTAAATACCTATCATCACAGATCACCAGATGGCAGGCTAATATTAGCCAAGATGATCACTGGATTTGAAAAAATGTGACAACTTACATTCAATTTGAAGACAGGTGTTCACGCATTTCTTATGCGGTCAGAAATGAACGTGTTCCGTGGGGTTCAAGGTAGGTAAGGTAGACATGGGATTAAGGATGAATAATAGCTTTGCAGAAACTTACTGATAGAAAATAAAGTATGTTTAGTGCATGAGGGTAGTGTACACTTCTCGTATTTTCTTTCCAATGGTCTTTTGCTGCAGCAGCTTGGTCCGAGGCAGTTCATACAAAATGTGAGCAAATGTTCAATAATCACCATAAAGTGGATGTGGAAAGGTTGAATGGAATAGTGTTCAGCACTTCTATAAAAGTCAAATAATACACACACAGTGTGAGCTTGGTGTGTGAGTGTGAGTGTGTATTTTGGGTAAGGTGAAGGTCATCCCCTATAAATTGTATACTGTATATATTAATAACACAGGTGTGTGTGTGTGTATAGTCCCTAGTTTTGGGTAAGGTGAAGATCATCCACTATAAATTGTACGAAGTATATTGTATTTGATTCCCCCATCCCATCCCTGGCTTTGTGTATGGTAAAGTTCATCCCTGGTATAGACACAGAATGGCATCCTGTTAGGCAAATAGCTTTCTTTAAAAGAATATGTAAGAAAACATACACCATATTTTTCTTCAAGATGCTGCATAGCTTGATCAAATTCTTGCAGTCCACGATATCTAAGATAGTCTGCATCACCCTGCGTACACCCAAAAAATAAATATCAAATAATAAATAAAAAGCTATTAGGATGGATAGATTACAGCAGCTATTTTCAGAATCTTGGAAAGTTTATAGAGTTAAGTGTTCCACAAACAGGCAGAACTTCATTATGAAATAATAACTCCTGCTCAAAAGTTGAAACCGCCTATTGGGTTTCATCTCCATGATATTTGAAACAAAGACCATCTAGTTCCTATCGTAGCCTGTTTTGCTGTGGAACACTAACAATATTTTCTACTTTCTTGACAGCTTGTGCAAAAATCACTCCCCTTTCTCTCCTCCCTTACAATGGCGATTCTGTCAAGGAAAATTTAGCAAAAACTTTTGAAATTTCAAATTGAGTTATGTTCTATCATTCATCACTCTTTATTTCAGTAAAAGGAAGGGTTGCCTCTGTGAGTTGCAGAGGCCAGTTAAGTTGAGTCATGAAGGGATTATCAATAATTACAATTTGCATCTAATTTTTATAGAATATTGCATCATCTCCAACGCCCTCATCAGTCATCACCACCAAATTTGACAAAAAACCAATCAATCAATCAAAACACAAGCATCAACTTTGTTGCTATTGTTTTAGCTAACCTGAGTACTAGAACTATTAAAATGGACAATTTCCAATTTCATAGACATTACGAAAATTATCTCTTAGCCAATCAATTTTATGTGCTTAACATGTAGTGACTCTTATGCTTAAAATTCAGAAAAAATGAATAATACTTGATGACTTGTATAGAAGTCAACATTGTCCAAAATGGCTTACAACAACAAAACCTTAGTCCCAAAATGATTTGGGGTCAGCTAACATGAATCGTCATAAGGATTCGTACCAAAATGGCTTACAGACAAACAAAAATGCTTCACTACAAAATGAAGCTACTGTAAGTTAGGAATATACCAAGTCAAACCTTCGCCGACATTTATCATAACTGTTATTGTTTCCTGGGACAATTTTACCAGTTGGAAGATGTTGATCCCCTCGTGGAAAATCTATCCACTCTGAAATGTATCAAAAGTTGAATCAGCGCCCGTACAGAACTTAAGATCACATGTGAAAATCGCAAAATTCGAGCAAATATATTCTAATAAAGTCAACAGAATCATCAGTTTTACCTGGGTGGCCAAATTCATTTCCCATGAAGTTGAGATATCCTTCTCCACCCAATCCCATAGTAATAAGTCTGATCATCTTATGTAATGCAATTCCACGATCTATTCGTGGTGTTGATGGTCTATCCACAGCCATAAAATCATACATATCCTGAAATCATTAGCAGGTCAGAAAGCAGAATAAACATTTTGTTTAAAAGAGTAGTGAAAAAAAGAAGAATGATATAAATAGGGAGATAAAAAAAAATATGAGCACATGAGAAAGGGCCTCTACAGCAGCAGTCTGCAGGCCAAAGGTTCACAGCTCAAGGTTAAATCTGCTTGTACGCTGCAGACATTGACAGGAGAGCCATGATAGGGTATCCGTGTATGACAATTTCTAAACATCTGACATCTAATATAAACTGCAAGGGATATATTTTTAAGGATTAAGAGAATGACTTGCACATTAGGGGTACTGATTGACAAGGAAGAATAAAATATGCAATCAGCAGGGTAGGATATCTTCAAGTCTAGAAAGGACTATATATAGGCTTACAGGAGTTACAGTCAACAAAATGGCAGAATATGGGATATTCATTGCTGTCATTATTGTAGCTGCTATATCAGTGTCATAACCAAAAACATCTATTCCTTGAATTATTGTTTTTTCTTCACTAGGGTACAAACTTCATGTTTTCATCATAGTATTTTCATCTCCTAAACTTTTGAAACATTGCAAAGACTGTTTATCATATTCGTGTTTCCAGACATAACCAGTAATCAGTCTGCCATAAGTTAAAAATCATCCAATTAATAAAAGCATTGAACCTACCCCACCCCCACCCCACCCCACCTACCCACTACCCCAAAAGTACAGCAAAATCCCCAAAAGCCCAAAATGAATAAGTCTCTGAGCAATCTACACATTTAACAAAAAAATTATTTTAGTATAATAAGCAAACTATAGTGTAATATGAGTAGAAAAACCACGGGGAAGGAGAGGATCAATGAAGTCATGTATTGCTTCTGCAGCCGAAAGGCATAAAATTAAGAGCACAAATGGAAATCTCACTAATTAGGCAGGATTTTTATTAAATTAGTCCATCCAGAAATGACAGTAAGCGGAATGGGATCAAAGCTGCCTTGATCTCAGGAATGACAAGTCAAATTAAGGGAAATAATGTGATAGTTATGCAATCATTTAGAGGTCAATCCACAATCCTTGAGCGAATCTACCGAGCTATTGTTTTAAAAAATAACAAAAATAAATAATCACCACATAAGTAGCCTGAGCCCAGAGGTACAGACTTACAGTGATATTATTCAAGTAATCATACATGTTCAGTACCGTATGCTTGATAGATAGTATTCATTGATTATTAAACATAATAACTCAATACCCTTACATATCACCATCTTGTTACTATCTAGATGTCATCTGCTTGGAATAAAATAATTGCAAATTTGAGCATCAAACCAAAAGGGGGTTTGACACGGACCCTTAATTTTTGTAGTTTAGCTTATATTACTATAAGAAAGATACCATATAATGCATCTGCAAGAGAGCGTAAAGAAACTGAAACAAATCTGAAACAGGACTCGTCTAACCTTGTCCATCAACCAAAATGCAATCGTTTTGTCACCGACAAGAGCTTGGTCATGACTTTCAGCATATGATACACATTTCTCGGCCCACCGCCGGTTGGTCAATGTGTGAACGATGTCACCCATTCTCCAATCTTCATCTCTTAATCTGCAGATATGGTTATCATACAAAAATGTCAATATCATTAACCATTTCATGTTTAGATGAAAAGACACTTAAGAAAACTTTGCACCTTTTCTAGCAAAAGCTAATAATATTTGCAGATATGGTTATCATTAACTCATTCTCAAATTATTGGTTGGTAAAATTGAGGACATGGGATGAATTCTTCCTCACAAACTGAAAGCTCAATGTTATGCTTCACAATTAAGATATTACATACATATCTGTTACACAGAGTAATAAAAGCATGTCTCCTACAATATATGAAGAAATATCAAGGCTGCCTAAACTAGTTGATTCTTCTTATGTTAAGCCACAGCAGTCAAACTAAGTTCCTTAAAAATTACATAAATAAATGAAGACTGAATGGATTAAACTTTATTTGAGTATATGCCCTGGAAAGGTTTTAAACGAATCAAGTTGACACATATTTTAACTCTGCTATATAACCACTTGACCACTTCCAAATCCTTACCCTAACAATAATGAATGGATGGATAGAAGTCCGTCTAAAGTGTGGTTCTCAAAAAAATTACAGAATTTAATCACATTTGAATAAAAGTCAAACATGATCGCACATGCAAGTCCTATCAACAACTAACATAATATGAATATGATACAGCCACAGGTCAGAACATACTGGAGAAGCTCTATCCATTTATCAGCAATAGCCATATGGAGACGGTAATCAAAACCAACACCACCATCTTGCGTTGGAAGACAGAAAGTCGGCATTCCACTGACCTGTAAGCAGCAGGCAACAAATGTCTTTAAAAACATAATTTAGGAGAATAAAATACACCAAGGTTAGCAGAATACAGCTCTTTTCCCCTTGTGCAGGCCAAAGACAAGCCCTTCCACACATAACTAGAAAAGAAAACATTACATACAAAATAAATAATTATAAAAGGGTTTTTTTGTTTTTTTTTTTAAAAATGCAGAGGTACAGGAACAATAATTTTATAGCCATAATTCACAAATTTTAGAATATGTTCAGTTCTTTTCACCTTCCACTAAGCTAAGCTTGTGCTAACTTATTTAAGATAAGTATAGTTTTTGTAGTTGTGAATTGAACTTAGGTAGTCTTCATTTGATCGTAGTGGAATGGTATCAAATCTTATTTTTTTATGAAACTTGCTTTTTTTAAGGTGAAATGAACAAAGCACAACATAGGCAAAATAATTTTGATCACATAAAAAAGGGGAAAAAATAAAATTATTGATAAAAAGATTTTCATATAAAAATATACACTACATCAAACCGTGAGAAAATGAGTGATATTAATGATCAAAATGTTTGTCCTCGATAATTTCTAAATAAAACAATTAACAAAAGTTTAATTAGCATTTTTGATAATTAGAAGTACATAAAGGAATTAATTCAGACTTTCATGGTCAGCAACAAGTGTTAAAACTCAATAAAATACTAAGCATATATCTTAAGAAAATGAGTGACATACATCTTCACCAATGGCTATAGCCTCAGGAAATAATCCATGTATCATGTCATTCACCAGCATTAGGTAATTCACAGCATCCACATCGGTTGCAAAACCAAAATACTCCTCATAATTTCCGGTAAATGCTACCTACAACAAACAAACAAAAAAAAGAAAAAAAAATCTGTCATCAACACATGATTAGAGACCATCAAAGAGAAGAAGGGTCTACCAGGCAAATGATGCTAACAAAATAATTTCAAATTGAAGATGAAATGCAAGCTTTTATATAATAAAATCTGGTAATTTCTAGATAAAAGATGAATAGATGAGCAAGAACACAAAATACTTTTTCATGACATTTGAATTCTCCAGACAAAAAGAACAGTATATTGAGCAGAGTTTCCATATTTCCAGTTTCCACAGATACTAAAATCAAGATCAGAAATCTTGTTGTCTTCAAGAACAAATTTGAATTTAAAGTCAATATGATGATAATTTGATGTGATAAGTAAAACAAATAAGCGAAATGCAAATTGGAGGTTTTGAAAGAGGGAGGTCAAGTTTTAACTTTTACCTGCAGCCCATGATGAGTGTACATCATTGAAGTTACACCATCAAACCTGAAGCCATCAAATTTATATTCTTCAAGCCACCATCTCGCATTAGATAGAAGATACCTGAGCACCTACTGAAGATGACACATAAATTTACACTGACCAAATATGGAACAGAAAGCATACTACTCACAAAGTGAAGAAGAATACTTACTTCCCAACTTCCATAATTGAAAAGACGAGAATCCCACATCCAATGATAACCACGTGATCCAGAGTGAAAGTAGTGGCCATCAGTTCCATCGAACATGTTCAGCCCATCTAGTACATTGTTCGATGCATGGCTGAATTTCACAAAATATTAAATAAAATTTAGCGAGAATCGTACACAAGTAAAATAAAGATGTATAAGAAAGATCATACATCACAATGGACATGAAATTAAACACCCCAGCAAGTGAATGCAAACATGGTCAGAAGACTCAGAACACACTAGATCAATTGGTTAACCAAACCAAGAACAAACACTAAATATGTCTGCGGTGACTTATTAATACAAAACAATTCAGATTTTAGCTACATCAGAAAAAAAGGCAACCCAAATGGATTCGGGAATTCTTCCATGATGCATGTATTATTCACTTCCATATTGCTTTCAGGCTAGAATTACTTGATTCGCTTCCAAATGACATTTAACTTAACAGAAAAGGAACCAAAACCACCAACGGAGAAAAATGATTTAGCCTTCCATCCTAAAGAAACCTCAAAGCTCAAACCAATGTTCATAAAATCATAATACAGTTTTACCTGTGCACAATATCCATCAAGACGACAATACCAAGCTCGTGAGCTCTATCTATCAAGGACTTGAGATCTTCTGGAGTACCAAAACGACTGCTTGGTGCAAAAAAATTTGTCACGTGATACCTAGGAACAAAATATGAAAGATTAATGCATACACAGATACAGTATATGAGACAAATATTGAGGCATAAAAACGTATCCTAAGCATGCAACCGCCAAGCTTAAGCTTAAGAAAGAATATAAAAAATATATGAGTAAAAGTCTTTTGGGGGGGAAAAAAAAAGAGAGAGAGAGAGAGCGAGAAAGAAAAAGAATCAATAGAGATGTATTAAATGTACCCAAAGCTAGCATAATAGGAATGTTCCTGAATAGCCATTATCTGAACAGCATTGTAACCCAGTTTTTTTATTCGAGGAAGCACATCATCTCTGAAGTTCGCATATGTATTAATGATTGGTTCCTGCAACTCACATTGAGGATATCAAAGCATAGTACAACTTTCAAAAATACAAGAAAATGTAAAAGAAACATGTGAGGAGAACTAAATAGTCAAATTTGTCACAATTCTAATGATGTATTGATGACTTAAGACCCTCAAAGAGGAATGGATACGGTGGAGACCTTTTGTTGGATGACTTGACAATGACAATGATAATGGATGAAAGCAATGATATGAAGTTTCATGTTATCTAAAGTCAAAGGATCTAAGGGAATTTTCTATTCAGGGTAATTTTGCTGAATAGAACCTTAAATATCATCGAAATAAAACAAGATTGCCTTTAAAGTTGAAGAGAACATGAACTGACCCATGTGTAATGGAAAGTGCAGTGTTGGGTAAGACTACCTAAAATTGAATCAAATACGGAGTAATACCGATGGAGAACTTCTCATTCAGAAATACTAAATAAATCAATACCCCATATTACTAAAAAAGACTGCGATGAGGGATTGCAAGCTAAAAACTACTTGAAGAATAAGAAATGAATATCTCCAAATGACTATCAAATAAGTTATACCCCTATTTTTTTATTTTCCATTTGGAATGTGCACACTACACCAGTTTTTCCTTATTATATTTTCTTCTTCAAGACTCTGTTGCGAACACTAAAAAAAAAAATTGTTCTCCTTTTTCTCTTAGTTTTCGACTTTTGACAAATATTTAAAGTGGAAGTACATCTTTCTTGAATGTCTTTGATTAATATGTTGTAGAATACACACACACATGTTCAGATAAAGCATATGGGAGTATTATATTACACTAACAACAGATACAAGGGAAGACCAGCAGTCCCAGACTCCCAGGACTATATTAGAAGCAAGTACAGCTTACAATCTCTTTGAACATCTGACAAGGAGACCACTGACAAAACATCTACATGTTCATTTATTTCACAATAAGATTAATCATGAAGGCATGGTGCACGCCTTTGTCGTAATTCCTATACATTGTTAGACTGTACTACTAGTATAAGAAAGTTAACACAGTTAAGAACTAAAGAACTGCTCAGATACATGATATTGGACTACTAGTATGTCTCAATACCTTACAGTAAAAGCATTTAGGTAAATAAACATAAAAATGAAAAAAGAAAAAAAGGAAAAAAATATAAAAATAAAAAACCTATCACTAGAGTTATTGAAATTTTATGTGCATTGCCGTATAAGATACACTATATCCAAGTTTTACAACACTTAGTGGTCATGTGATTGAGCATAGGGAAGTTACAATTCCAAGGAAATTATTACCTGTGAATTGAAAAGATATTTTAAAATAACTATAGTAGGACTTCCCAAAAAATAATTCCCCTTACTTAGTTGGGACTAGGTGAGTCATCCCATCTACATTATGGAAGTGGAACTTCCCCCAAGAACTAGTTGCACTTCGTATGTTTTATCAATCAAACTGCCTTGTACCTTTCCACTGGTCTGAATATTTTATAACCTATGTATTTACATGTCCGCTAAACAAGCACTTAATTGAACATAGAAGAGCATCTCATCCATCATCAAGGAAACAACTCAGCAAAATATCAAAAATATTAAGTATTTAAAAAAGAAAAAAAAAAAAAGAGAGAGAGAGAGGGAGAAATGTTAAGAAACTGATTCCGTATTTAACATCGTCATTCCTAGGGAGAGAAGAAATGCGCACCGTACTACTCATGCCAATATGCGACTCATAAATTCTTAGTGAGTTTGGTCTCTTTGGTTGAGGGTGCTTGAAAACGTACTTTTCCTATAAGAATTACAACACAGAAAGTATTACTCATGGAAACAGAAAATGAGAGATGTTAGCACATAAGCAACAACTTTTACCATATCTAATATTAAACAGTATTTTTTACCTCTTCTGGTGGGTCATAATAGATCCCATTGTATGGGATTTCACCTGGTGCCTGTACAGAAAATTTGATCCAAGCGGGGATAGAGTCTTTGATTCCAGAAGGAGTGTCCATGTGAATCTAAGAAATCAAATCAAAATTTTAAGAAAAAAGCCATATAATTTTGATTATCAGTATACAATTTTTACAAGCTGATGTGCCAACATTTTCTCCACAAATAAGCTGGATTTCCCCTCTCCTACCCCACAATCTATATTATAATGAACAAACAATACATTATCACATTAATTTCCACAAGCTATAGTTCAAACATTACCTTCACCCGAGAGCCATGAGGGATAGCCGATGAACCATCTGCATTGTTCGGCAAAAAGATTTCCCAAACACCAAATTCATTCTGCATTCACATAAGCAATTGTGGAAGTTGAAGCAGAAGAAGTAAAAACACACCAGTACACAGTAAACAGAAAGAGCTTTAAACTCATTCTCAGATACTAGCCAAGACCAAAATCAGCATCAAAAAGAAGAATACCTACTTTAAAAAGCCCTTATCTTACAGGGCACAACAATAATTTACCTTTTAAAGACACTAGGATACATACCAGAGCACCTAATATTTTCGAAAACAGAAACCAAAGTAAACAGCTAATAAAGAGTTAGAAACAGAAGGTTATCTTATCAGGATCCCAATCTCTTTTAATATGAAACAGGACAAACGTAGAGCAGTAAACAGCTAAACACATGCTTCCTCTTTTCTTTTAATTGCTTTGACTTTCACACTTGCCTATTCACTACTTATACCAGCAATATTTTTAATCATATATTAAATAAAAAATTGTAAAAAGTTGATATTTTAAAAATATACATTGCAACTAATCCAACAATCTATCAGAAATTAACATTTTTTTTACAAAGAAAAATTAAAATCTTTTTAATATATGAGTAAGAAAATATGGTCAAAGTAAGGTGTATGATAGTTTAAAAGTCAAAACATCGCGTTTAAACTAGAACATAGGAAATAAACTACACATGTTTTAAATAGACAGCAGTTCATCATAAAGCTCATTCTCAATGATTGAAGTTAGAAATTGGTATGGCTTAAGCCAGAGCTTCCTCAATCATGATCTTCATCTAGTTATTCAACGTTTTCATTGGATTTTCTTCTTTTTATTTGGAAAAGATGGGGAGAGGATTGGGTAAGGAGATTGATAATTTAGTGATCTGATCTTTTTCGATTTCTCAGAGACACCACCATTAGGAAATTGGCTTCAACAACCAGAGTTCCTACTGGGAAGAAAGCAACTATAACAACAAAGAAGTTCAATAAAGACGTACATACATCAGTAGCACATCAGATAGGTCAACAATTTATCTTTCTTACCCCCCTACCTTAACAAGACCATAATCCAGCATTCCATAGATGTAGTGCAAAAAAAAATATATCACTGAGCACAATTTTCTAAAACAAAAATAGCATTTGAGCTTATCATAGCTTACAGTCAATACAACTGGTCAAGAGGAATAGCATACCCGAGTCATAACATCAGCATTAGGATTCCAATTGTTGAAGTCTCCAACCAAAGATGCTGACTGTAAACAAACAGAAAAATGATGTACATGCAGAGAGAAGAAAGAACAAACAAGTCCCTTAACGACAAAATTCAAGAAAAAGGGTAAAGGATACTATGGGTTCTTATTTTCTTTTACTGACCAAAACAAGAAAATAACAATAAAAAAAGAGAAAAGGACAAATGTAGTACAAATAAGTCAAAGATGACATTGTGACCTAGGCAGTATCAGAAACAGCTCTCAAAAGCCCACAAATTCTTCCCCAATACAATGCACAAAGAGTAAATTATTAAAAAGAAATTAGATAAAACCCATGGCAATACAATTGAGAATCGCCACTCAAACACTACCCCGACCACTTATGGCTAGCTAAACTGCTACCTTGCCAAATACATTTAGTTTTTTTCTAACTAGTATTTTGACCTGATTAAAATGCTAATTGGTACCTAAAACACTACCACTGGACAGGGCCTAACTTATTGCATTGGTACAATAATTTCACCATTGCTGCAATTGCTACACAAGTTACCTACATCAATTGGCTGGCCGCCCAGACCAATTATGCCACAATGCATTTACCCAAAAGGTTAGAAGTGAAGAATTCTTTCTTAATATGTTATAAAATTAAGATATTGCTCCATAGATACGTTAATATTTCACAATGCCATAACCTTAAGTCTTCACTTGTATACTGGCCACAATAAAATCCTTCAAATACTCTTCAGGTTACAAAAAAATCTCTCTAGGTACTCTTATATTCATCTAGCTCTACCCTTTCTTAGTAATCAGCACTAAACAATCTGTACAGGGTAGTTTTCACTCAACATAATAAAACCACAGACCATTTGCACCATGCATTTTTTTTCTATATATGTGCAATGACCAATTAGATACAGAGTCACGGCAAAACAAACCTTTGCTCCAGGTGCCCATTCTCTGTATGTTATCCCTGCAGCACTGCATAATATTTAACAAGAAAATTAAGAGGTGCAAATCAAAAGCAAGAACACTTCTGCAAAAAATGACATCAGTCACTTCACACGATCATTTGTGATGCAAGGCAGTTGATGGACAGATAGTAATGAACTCCAGCGTCTAGAGATTTTGTAAGTGATTTTTACAATTTAAAAAATAGAAATTAAACAAAAAAGGGGTTTTTTACTGATTAATTTAGCAACAAAATAACCTGGCACCAATGTCATAATTCCAGAACAAATACCATAGTCGCAAAGTTAATTGTCATTACTTTTAAGGGAAATACCATAAAACTATGCTACGAAATGATGATCAATGAGCAGAAATTTTAACAGATGACCAAGACCACGGTTACCAAGTCTTAAAAGAATCTCAATCCACATTCTTCAACAGCAACCAGATCCCAATCATAAACTTGTTGACAAAATCCTATGGTCTTCCTTTAATACTTCTTTCCAAGTATCTAAAGTCTTTCAAAATAATATTAACCGGAACACTCCTGCCTCCAAAATAAATCATAGGGAATTGTATACAGCATTACACCTAGGATAATATATAGTTTTTCATAAGACCTTTTATCCAAAACACAACAGCTATAAACAATCTACCACATCGCAAAAAAATATGAAGCACAGATACATAAGCCAAAGTCAAAGAAAAGTAATCTTAGGCTAAGTAGAATAAAGACAAATGATTGATATTACGAATGACAACTTCCAGTACTTAGAATCACAATATTATACAAGCATAGTATTGCTAGGACTTAGTACAGAACAGAGTAATCAAAGCTGAGAAAACAGAGTAACAATGGCAGCCAAGGGATAGTTGTATTGCAAATCAGAGTAACTTACAATACAAGCCTTTTTTCGAGAGGAAGGTTCTCTCCACAACAAACTCCTTAACAAATTTTTGCATGCATTTCCCTTGACCCCAAGCCCCTATTAATACCCAAAATTGAAGCAAGTAACAAACTCTAGAAACAGCTAGCAAAAGGAATCAAATAACAAACTCCATAACTAACTTATTTATGAGTTACTATTTTACCCTCTCCCAACAAAACTGATTTTTCTAACAAAATTCCCTTCTCAACCAATGCACATTCTTTGCACATTCTTGGGCCTCGCATAAGTGAAGCGGATGCTAGGCCTAGCCAGATCCCTTGCAAGTATATACCCCACTGTAGGGGTAAAATTGAATAATATGCTGGACACCATTATGACATCATCTAAAATCATAAACATTTTCAAATTTCAAAGTCAAAGTCAAAGCTATTAGAGGATGCAAATTGGCCAGATAAGAAAGTGACTAAGTGAACATAGGGTTTAAGGGGAAGGATTCAATTAACTAGCTATCTAATTTAATAAAGTACCTTTCAATGATACCCTTGTATCTATTTCTTAAACTTTAACAACCCAACCATAACAAATTTATATTGCTTCCAAAATAGTATTCAAGCATTACTTCCTCCACTGTTGTTAGAGCATTTAATCAACTTAAATTACTCCATTACTTGACATTAATAATTCCAATGTGCTATAATTCAGCAAAAAAAAGCCAATGTAATACTCACGTTGCCATTTTAAATTACCAATGCAATATTACTTGTTTGCTTTAAACACCAAATAACAAACAACTCCTTGATGTGTGCATAACTTCAAAAGACACTTATTACGAAACATAGGGAGTAACATGAATTTCAAAATAAAAAATGGTTAGGAAACAAAAAAAAAAAAAGTTAAACAAACTACATTTCTTTAACTCTAAGTTTCCCTAGGTAATATCCAATAGTATCCATACCTGCGAATGAAACCCATCTTTTCATATCCACGAGAAAATTCCTCCAAGCCACCTTCATACTTGTTAATTTCTTCACGCAATTTTCTGTACATTGAATAGCTACAAAAGACAAACAAACATGTAAATGTCCATATATTTTATTTTATTTTTATTAAATGTGAGCAGCAAATAAACAAGCCAAAAGGAGCGTATCTTAAAAGACAAAACTATACCACGTACTATTTAATCAAATGTTCTCAGGCAAAAAGGAATATTTATAATTAAAGAAGGTGATAAAGTTAGCAATGCAAGTATAAAAGAAAACTAATTCAACTTCTTGAGAAGAAGTCCATTCAATACCAGTGCAAAATTATGGAAAGAATCATAGCGTGACTCCTAACCCAAATCTTATAATTGGCATAGTTGCGTGGACTTGCACTGAAAAAGAAAATTCCCTACATTTGAGATAATGCCTTTCCTGTGAGTTTTAATGTCATAAGTTCTGTCCACTTCAATCCAGTGCATTTGTTTTAATAAAAAATAAAGAACACATTTTATCAGTTAAAAAGTGAAATCTAGTCAAATATTTATTTCTTTTGTATTGTATAAGCTATGTAAGAAGGAGATAGAATCAGAAGTGAGGTTATTCGCAAGAAAATGGGTGTAGCAGGCATTGCAGACAAACCAAGGGAAAAATCGCCTACATTGGTTAGGGCATGTAAGACGGAGACCCGAGGGTGCACCGGTACGAAGAGTGGAAGAGTGGGACCATAGAGGGGTTAAACGATGGAGAGGGGGACCAAAAATGACTTGGTTGGAAGGAGTTAGGAAGGATATGAAGTATATGGGTTTGCATGAGAATAAGGCATTTGATCGTAAGGGATGGAGGAGGAAGATTTTTGTGGATGACTATACAGAATAATCACTTTTGGTTCATGTAGCCGACCCCACTTATGGGATTAAGGCTTTGACTGATTGATTGACTGTATAAGCTATGTAATCCCAGAGATTAAAGATTTCAAGTAGATGAAAATAAAAGATAATTTTTGTATTTGACCATAAGAATAGCCAAAATCAGCTGGATGTACAATCAGAAAAAATAAGCTAGAACACCTGGCTCAGAAAGCAAGCCCACAACCCCACACAGACACACACACTACACAGGCATTTTCTTAAAAATTATATGGTAAAAAAAAACAGATATATTCAAAAGAGGAAAAGAAAGAAACTCCCACAAACATTCACCATCCCTCTTCTTTCTCTCTCAAAAAAAAAAAATATGCCAACCATATTGTTGAATGATTCTTCAAAATGCATGACTCAAAAAAACAAACCTAAACTTCCACTCTTCTCTCCAATGACACTCTCTTAGGCGATGAATAAAGCAACCAGCATCACATGCATAACAAAATATAAAGATAGGAAAATAAAAAATCTCACCGGTAATCAAGATGTGTACGATAATTTTTCAAAAGTGGATCTATCTCATATATTCTCTGCCCATTACCAGATGGGGGAACTAATCTTCTAGTGACAGAATCTTGCACATCTATATCTTCGTGAGTATGAGTTTTAGCCATAGATTTCTTATTAGCCACACTCTCTGTGCCTCCTTTCACAGTTTGTACATGTAAATCATGGACACCCTACAGAGAGAGAAAAAACAGATGCATATTTAAGTTGAATAAGAATGCTTAGATAACTTAAATAGATATTACAGGCAATCAGTATGTGATTTAAACCATAACCAACTCTACTTAGCATTTAACCTTTGGAAAAATAGAAAACATATACTATTGCATGCCTAAAGTGCAGTGGGCTTCGAGACAGCATAACATAGTTGGGAAACCAAAATAGCTACCAGATAGCAACCAAAATAAATAATTAAATAAAAAAGTTTTGGCTCATGTCATGGGATGTGACAAAGTTTTACACTGGCTGTCACTGGCCTACCGAAACCCTCTCCTTTATCCAGGCTTGGGACTGGCAGCAGGAAACCCATTTATGAGATTAAGGCTTTGATTGATTGATTGAAAATAAAAGCTTTCCATTAAGGTTGCAGAGCTTGCAACATTATATCTCCAACTTATGCACAAATGTATGAATAGTTGTTAATCAAATTAATCCTACCACATTCTGGCATAGCTTTTAAGATTTATGAAACTGGTTTTCCCTCCTTAAACAGTAGCCAATTATATATGTTTCTCGATAGCAACTACATTGACTGGTGCAGATGATTCTTGCCATCATTTTTCTTCCCCTAAATTAGGAAGTAAAAGGCATACCCAATTCAATCATCAGCTAGACATTATTAGAGGACACAAAACATTGACAAAGAAACCAAGTCCGCACCTCAGTGTCATTCAAATTTGAATCAGAACTTAAGCCTTCATCAGATGGAGAACCTTCGGCGTCACTGCCTGGAACAAGTACTTTTTGAGATTCCGTCAATGTTGCTGATGAAGAATCAGAATCATAGGGCTTCTGAGCGTAAATCTTCCCTAGAAAAAAGGCCAAAGATCAGAAGTTAAGAGACCAACATATAGGGAGTGGTGATAGTAAGAGGAACAAGAATGACACTTGAACTCTTGCCCCCTATAGCCCTAGAAAACAGATATTGAACAGAACAAAGCATGAAAGACATTAAATAGACAAACAAATGTGCCGATTAGATATGAAATCTGTAATTAAAAAAACCCTATGTATCTTATTCCTCCCCTCAAAACAATTGATGCTTGCATTATTAATTCACTTAAGCTAAAGATCTACACCTTAAATACAATTGTTAGATATTAAACTTGTCAAACAGCACCGCCATTTGTCTGCAATCTCAACAATACCATAAGATTATTTCCCTTGTTATGTATATCTAGTGCCTTTACAGTTGTGAGATGCGGACCTGTTTCTCAGGGGATGCTTCCCAATGATGTCAATCATGATTAGCATGCATTATTCTTCCCACTGACTATGTTTAGAGGCCTCCTTGTCCTCTACTGTCATACCTCTTCGTTTTACTACTCCACTTTTTCTTTGTCAAAATATGTCTCAAGCCTGACCTTCAATTATACAAAAAAGAAAAGAAAAAGATTTCCAAAAAAAGCTGAATGATGGATTGTTGTTGCCATCTGGCCTCTAAGTGCATCAACTAAAAACAAAGATTGGTCATCTGCTATACCACTCTAGCTCAATCGCTTCAAAGACGTCATAAATTTTGTCCACCATCGGACTTGTCCTCTATAGCATTTCCTACTACACCAAATCATGGATCCAACTCGTCAACATTCCTACTTACTGTAAAAAAAAAAAAGCATGCCACTGATAAAGTGATAATACACAAAAAAATAGAGACGGTCATATCAACCAACAACCCAACCTCTCATTATATGAACCAATCAAACACTAACAACTCCTCCAAAATCCTACAACTCCTCCAATCAAACATAAACAATTGGGAAGATCAGAATTGCCCCGTCCTACATCATTACTCATTATATTGTAGTTAAGACATATCCAAACATAAAAAACCAAATTTCTTCCTGAACTAAACCAATACACTACCAATTACCCAAAATTCCTCAAAATCGACATAAAATTCGAAGAACAACAGTGAATTTTTACAATTTCTAATTTCAATTGTACCATCAGCCAACCAGACAACATAATAACAGAACAACGGCTCTCAATTCCAAAAATTCATGATACAATCAAAAGTTTCAAACTCGCATAATGCTTTCCCAAATATCATAAATGCAATGCCAAAAATCCTTAATTCCCCCAAAATCACCCATCCAACATTCAAAATGTCCAACACAATCATGCATTATTCAATACTAACACCAAAAATTAATAACAAAAACCACTAAATCTCGATTTCATGAAATTCACGCAACAAAATCAATGTAGAAATTCAAACAAAAAAAACAAAATCAAATTCAACAACACAAAAAAAACATTTCCAAATATCAATCAAAAATCATCAAAACATATCCAAATTCCAATCAAAATTCAGCAATAAATCAGAGAGAAAGAGTGAATACGAGAAAGAGAAGCGGAAGACTTGTTGTTGATAGGGAAGACAGAGAAAGATGAGCTCCTCCGATTATCGCCATGAAAACAGCTCGACTTATGAATAGACGGAACAGTAGTCGGAAGACGAATTCCAGAGATTGTATACACCATTGTTGAAAATGCTCGAATTCTTGTTGTTGTGAGCTAGGGTTTCACATAAATGGAGAAGAGGAGAGAGAAAGATGTGGAGAGAGAAAACAGGGTCGAGCTTGGAAGTGAGTGAGAGAGAGTGGAAGGAGGAGAAAATAAGAGAGAGAGAGTATCGAAAACTGCCAACCAAAGGGGGGAAGATCTCACATGACACAGAAATCAGAATTAATCAATTTTATTTATTTTATTATTTAATTTTATATTACTTAATATGCAGGAATAATATTGAATTTAAATACGATGTAAGATATTTTTAGTTTATTGAAACGTGTGCAGCAGAGATTGCATGGAGATTGGGTGACTACTCAGTTTGGTCCTACTCGCTCTTTTTACATCTTTCTTCATCCTCCATCGTTTATTTTTTTCTATTTTCGTCTATACTTGTTTTGATTCGATCCGATTCAAGTTTTATTTTACCTAGACGTTTATGATACGTGAATCTTTTGTTGATAGACTTGATACCCATTTTTTTTTTTACCACGAAGTCATATTATGGAGTGTTCACCATATTAGCTTTGATTTTAATGATAGTGAAAATGTATTGTGATTGGATTGTCATGGATTCTATTACGGTGGACTTTTTATACCTTATTTATCTATCATGTTACAGATATGTTTATATTTCATTCATCGATTAACCACAACAATTTTACGAAATTTTGTTGTAATATAATTTGGCCACATTTCTATTTTCAATTGTTACTCCATATGCAATTTTTAGTACGTTTAATGGTGACAAATAAAGTAATTGTAACTTCGTCTTAACATTTTTAAACTTTTTCTATTTTATAATATTTGCAACTAAAGATTATATTTTGGGCACAATTATAGGGGAACAAGTGTGGTGTACATGGAAAGTGATTTTTGTAATGTGCAATTGAGCTAATTGGATGTATTTTAAAATTAATGTAGAAGATAAATAAAAGGAATAAAAGATCAAAAGTGCATGTAAAGTTGGTTGGAGGTAACAACCAATAATATAATAATAGTCACATATCTCAACCTTTTACAAAGTTCAAGCAAGCTCTTATAAATAGTGTGCAGACATTTATACCCTTAATAATGTTTGTTTCTCTATTTTCTAAAAAGTTTAAGCAAATTCTTATGAATTATGTGCACACATTTATACGCTTATAAATGTTTGTTTACTTATTTGTCCTCATTAATGTTACAAACTCTTAAATGGACCTGATTCACACTAATTTATTTGTGGACCACTAATATTAGAGACACTATGGTTGTTTTATTAATAAATATAAAAAGGTCACTTTATTAAAATAAAGGTTATTATGTTGAAATAAAAATCATTGTGGTTTTATAAAGACTATAAAAGGTTTTTTTTTTTTTGTAATGAAATTTTTTATATAGTGGTCAATATGAATAATAAAGGTTACTATGTTAATATTAGGGTCATTATGTTTAACATAATGTCGTACTTCAGGTTCACAATAATATTAAAGTTCACACAAGTTTTAATAAAGGTTACTATGTTAAAAATAAGGTTATTATATTAAAATTAGGGTTACTATGTTCCATATAACGTCAGTTGCGTGCGTATAAACCTCATGTTCACAAAAATATTATTGTGGATCAGGTCCACGCAAGTTTTTTCCAATAAATGTTAAGTGTCAATAGCTAAATTTGTGGCATAAGGTCAAACTAAAAGAGGTCTCGGACATGACAAGCTATAGCGCACTATCGCCCTAGTAATAATAAAAAGCACTAAACATCTTTGCTAAAAGAATTAAATATTTTAAATAATATATTTGCAACAAAGTAATACTACGTATATGATCAAATTTGTCAAATACCATCATTTTTTTCTACTATTATACTCCTTCCGTTCCTATAAAAGATTGTCCATTATTTTGGTCAAATTTTAAAAAATGACCATAAATACATATTGACATGAATCCAATAAAATTTCACTTGAATCATTATTCATATCAATGTGCATTTTGTTACGATTAACTTTTTATATTTTTGCATGTGTGAAATGGAAAATTTTACCATTTTAGAATTCAGCCCACCTTTTTTTATCTCTCACTATTTAATTACTAGCTCACTAACACACTTTATTTTTTGTTTTTGAAGGATGTGAAAATGTGTTGGAGATATTTATGTCATCAATTAGAAGGAGGTGTGGAAAATGATTCAGGTGGATCCACGCATGAATCAAATATCACGAGTGAGTATGAAAGAGAGAAATATTAAAAAAGGCATTGGGTCCCCTCACTACTTCATCTTCTTCGGTGCCCATGTCCTCTCCTTGAAAGAGTATCTTTTCGCTTTCATTATTACTCGGTATTTACTTTCACTCGTTCAAACTTCCTTCGTTTTTTTAGTTAATTTACAAGACTTGATTTTTAACACTATTTTTAAATTCCGTTTTAATTAGGAAATTTTGTTAGAACAAATATAATAAAGCAACTTTTTAATTAAATTTTTATGGTACAGGCGTTTGTACCCAAGCTTGGTACAGACGTTAAAAAAAAAAGCGGAAAGAACATATAGTTGTTTTGTAAAGAACATATAGCTATTTTTGTAAAGAACACCCAGCTTTATATATATATATATATATATATATATATATATATATATGTATATATATATATATATATATATATATATATATTGTATATCTAATGTATATCTGTAATATTAATAAAGAACATGATAATATTATGTAATGAACATTATTTATATATACTCACCATAATCCAAAGATAAAATTCAAAGAACATTTCTGATGAACCTTAAGTAGTTTTGATGATGATGGATATGCAAACTTTAACTAATGTGATTTCACTAAGTGTTGAATTAGAACAGGTGAACTTGTTATGAAAATCCAACGAGAAAGAAAGGAAAGATAAAGAGAATAGAAGAAGAGTTCCTTAATGGAACTAGAAGTGGTCCCTAACAGAGAGAAATTCCCTAACAGGAGCTTGACAGCAAGCTAAGGAGACTAGCTTGGATTGCGTTAAAGACAACAAGTTCCAGCAAGGAGCTGGAGAGTTGAAGACAGCAGGAACTTAGTTCTGGTCTGCGTAGAGCCCAAGTATTTATACAATGCGAAGCTTGAGGAGGCAATTTAGTAATAGTCTTAAAGTCTTTTGATAAGGTTTTATTAAGTTTATTTTTATTATAGGATTGCTGTAAATATAACTTGGTTAATGAAGCATGAAATCTATTAGAAACGTGACAAAGCTTGACAAGCTTAATAAATATGGAAAGTTTTAAAAAGATAAGTTTTAATTTATGGAAAAGATCTTAGAGTGATTTTATCTTAGAAAATCCGGTTTGCAAAATAATAATTTTTTTCTAAATTATATCTTTGTTAAGTTTTCCAAAAGATTTTCTTGTAAGATTCATTTCATGTTGGGTTTAAGAAAACAGCAGTTCTAATATTCTATCTTTTGAAAACCCTACTTTACATACAAGTGGTTCTTGTATATAAAGGAGTGATCATAATTGATACAGCTTGTGAGTTTATGCGTGAAAATTTGAAGAATGCTTAAGAGTAAGTTTTGCCTAGTTTAAAGCTTTGTCAATTGTCATATTAGTTTCGGGTTTCATGTGTAGCTTTTCAATCTTATATTAGAATCAAGCGTTTGTATTGTTTTGGGATTTGGGTGAGTGTTTAATTCATTACATACAATTTGTAGGCTTCTAGTGTGAAGCTGACTTGTGAGTACTCTGGGAGTACCCAGTGAACTTAGGTCATGAACTTAAGTTGGGTAGAATAGGGTTCTACGTAATGTGTAGCAAGTTCAGTATGGAACTTGTGAGTAAAGGTCTGTGAGTAATAGGTTGTAACTAGGTGTGTTGCCCTATTATAGAGGATTGGTTTGGTTTGAAATCCCTTGGAGGGTCGAGGTTTTACTTTCAATTGGGCCCTGGAAGGTTTCCTCGTAAAATTCCTGTGTGCATTGCAAGTTCCTACTTTAATGTGTTTTATTATTCCGCAAAAAGTATTCACTAGGAACTCACTACAATTCACCCCCCTCTTGTAGTAGTTTGTCTCAACTAACAATTTCACAATAAACAATGAACCTTATGTCACAAATAAAAGTACATTACGTTGGCCATTAAAGAACATGGACATGTGTTCTTTTCACTCTTTTTTGGTGCAAATATTTTCTTTTCACTCTAGGTATATGTTCATTACATTTTAATAATATGTTCTTTTCACTATAACTATATGTTCATTACATTTCTATAAAATGTCCTTTCTGCTTTTTTTTTAATGAAACGTTTGTACGATGCGCATGGTACAGGTGCCTGTAGGAACCACACATTGACTTTTTTATCAGGAAAAACCTCATAAATTTTTTTTGGCAACTTAAAACCTAATTGTAATTTTTATTTTTTTAATTTTTATTGAAGACAACCAAGGACCTCTAATTCACTTAATTAATCTCTAATTTATTCTAATTATCCTCTAACTCTCACTTAACTATTTAATAATTAAATTAATTTATAAATTTAACAAAACAAAAACCACCACCAACTAGCCACCCCCTCCCCCATCCAACCTAGAACCCCCCCACTCTCGGTGACCAACCTCCACCACCGTGTCCGCACCCTTGGCTATTGCCCAAGCTCTCCTGCTTTGATCAGCCCTCCGCAACAACACGGCACACAACGTTACAACCTTCTTCCTTTTCCAAATACTAGCAACCACAATTTAAATCACAAAACAACCCAACCTACCCTTCAAACAGTCACCAATTCGAATCATCTATCAGAGCTGGTCATCGCCCAAGTCTCGCCGCACCAACTTCCGTTGCAGCTATAGCCTCACATCCATGCTATTGGGTGGGTTTTTTGGGTTAGGGTTTAGGAGGGTGGTCGCGGCGAGGGTAAAGGGGAAAAGGGAAGGGGGTCCGCT